TTGTGAAAAGTTTACGATATTTCGTTGTACAAGTTACAGAAGAGCCCGATCAGAGACATTGTGGTTACTAACAATATACATTGAAAAGAATATATATTAATCAGACGTCAATTCCTGAACTGCTAACATCTAACTGGTAACCACTCAATATTTGTCTCCAGGATCGATCAAGAACTAAGAAAAGGAAACTTGTTGAAGTACTTTGTGCTGAAAATTCTATATCGTACCGAAAATATAATATTGAATAGAGCCACTAATAATAATAACAATAATAATATTAATAATAGTAATAATAATAATATAGTATCTGGTTACTGAAAAGGTGAATTAGGTAAAACGGCATTGGAATTTGAGACTTAGTCGTTATCATTAACCATTGAGTTACCCTATCACCTACATTATTGATTAGTTATTGAAACTACTTACATAATTTGCATTTTGTAAAAGTAGATTTTGACATAAAAAAACATTTTATTGAATTTTTCTGAAAACTTTTGTAGAGAAGAGTTATTCAGTATGTTAATATCGATAGTAAAACGGGGAACTGTTGTGAACTATTTCAAAGTGACACAACTCAATTCAGTATAGTGAAATGAAAAAAAAGAAGCAATAGCAAGGGAAATGATATCAAATGGAATAGAAGCTTAACTAAACCTTATATCAACAGTGTTGTATATATATATATATATATATATATATATATATATATATATATATATATATATATATATATAGAAGACATGTATATGCAGTAAGCTTTTGGTCAACTGTTTTTTGAAAGCATTGGTAATGCATTGTAGAATGACCAAGCGAGCAATGTTGAGATAAGGTGTAAAGTATGGTTAGGTAAATATCGGTAATCAGTTGGTGGGGATGTGATTATTTATCGACTGAGGTTGTTGAAACATGTGCCACATATACCTAATTACCAGCTATCACCTTCTGATAAAGTACGAGTAAGTAGAACGAAAGCCGAAGACGGTCGAACAACAAAGTAGCATCATTCTATGAATCTGTTGACTATTGATCTGAGCCATCTTGATAGACTCAGACTAATTAGTTTTGGTCATGTATTCTTTCACATATACCGATCCATTTTATCTTCTCTAACCATAATCAAAATGTATATTCTTTCTCATCACCATTTTCATGACAATTAGTTTGATTCCATTGTTATTCATTATGCAAATTTTATCTCATCATGATAGGAATGATATGTCAGCTGAGACTAATATACAATTTTTCCTAACTCTACATTGATCATAACTGACTAGCTGGCTGGAAAAAAAAGAAACTAAAACATTAAACAAATATTAGTACCTAAAACAATCTGATATTTGAAAATATCATTCTTCTAATTATTAAACTATTGTTCAACTCTCAATAATTCTTTACATTTGACAAACAAAGAAAGAATTTGAGAGTTTTTTTTTCTTTTTTTTTCTAGGATAAAGTCTTTCATCATAAAAAAACACCGATCACATGACTGAAATTGAACGATATAAATGGTAATTATTTCATACTATCAATTTCCAGGAATGACGTAAATTCATCAGTTTTTCATAAGAAGAACAAAGAAAAATATCAACATTTATTTGTAGACTAAATGAGCACATACGCCCGCGTGTGCGCACATACGCACACACACGTACAAACACATGGCATACAGATTAACAAAATTGGAATGTGTACTCAATAAACACAACAAGCAGTGTTCAATATATATATATACATGGTTTAAAAGCAGCCTAATCAGGGACGTAATGCTACTTATTAATTATTTAGCAATAATTTTTGTTTTCTCATTCAAAATAAAACACAATAATTTGGAAATAAATTTTAATTATTATCATCTTCATCATAATTATAATTTAATTAAAAGGTTTATTTAAAAATTATATTTTACAAGATAAATAAAACAAAACCAAATGGGGGGAGGTAGAGCAGGAAATAAATCTTAGTTTTAATTTGTTTTGTTTGTTTTTTTTCTTATAGACAAAATGAAAATCATTTTTTATAAAACAAAAAACAATCATAATCCACATCCATGATGAGATTGTTTTCTTTATCTCAATAAGCCTAGAAGTATTCATAAAATATTTGAATTTCAGAAAGTGTATTATATTTTTCGGTGAAGAGTTTAGTTTTATTAGTAATAAATGTATTATATCATTGAGTTTAATTGTGTTATAAACGATTGTAAACATTTCCGAATTGAATTCTATGTCAAAATGTTATAATAAATATTACTTATGTATTATGTAGCTCATTTACAAAATACATAATTAGATATTTAACTAGGTAATATTATCAAGCTGACTAAATTAAGTTAAAGCAGAGTTGAAACTTGGGAATTAATGGTTAAAGATCGATTGGCCTACTTTAGTAAACATATTATTTATAGACTGTAACGGAAAGATTGTATTTAGTTGGTAAAAGAGATTACAAACAGTTTTATTTGCAAAATACTTAAGTAAAGAAAATTTTTAAAAAACATAAAACAGTGGTTAGAATTTCAATTCAATCTTTATGTGTTATAATGTTAATGTAACTCCAATTTAAACTCATTAAACCGAGCAATTGAATTAAATCTATGTGACTTGGTTATAACCTATCCTAATAATCTTACAAATATTTGTAGAAATCAAGTATTTTCGAAACTTAAATAGAGTAAAGAGATAAAAACTGAAAACTAACGTAGTAATACATTTACTTCATAAAGTTAAAAGTTCTATTAAGCAAGAAATATTTCAGATTAAAGTTTTCGCTAGAAATAATTACAATTCCCGATTCAAATCATGCAAAAATTCTTATCACACCCAATATATACGTGTGTAAATAAAGATATTTATTATCTGCGCTAATGTTTATATTATTACAGTGACGTTATTTATATACACAGTAGACATTAAATAACATTGACAAATTTAAACATTTAAAATGTTCGTTTAATGTATGATATAGTAGATATAATAATAATGATTCAGAATTAATATTCAATGGCCTGATTAGTGTGGAGTTATTTTAACAACTTACAACTACAAATTTCCATCTTGAATATAATATTTAAGTGATATATAAGTACATGTATAAAGTGCATACTGCTTCCCATGTATTATTCAACAGATACTTTTACACATAAATATGAAACGATTGGATAGAGTAAAGATAGACACGTCACCATGGTCAAGATGAATACATATTCTAAAAAAACCGACGTTATATATTGTTTCTGAGTATAATTCATGTTTATTTACAACGTTTTTATTCATAAACTAAGTGGAATATGGCATGTATATGTGTCCTATAGGTACAGCAAAAGTACCTTAAGAAGACGAATAGCAAAGAAGCAGAAAAGATAACAATGATAGTTGTGCAAAACTTAACATGGAAACCCGAATTTAAAACAATCAGATGAAAAAAGAATGTAAAGAGAAAAATAATACTAGGACAGAGGAGAATAATGAATACATCTTTGCCCATGAAACGAATTTTAAGCCATTTCGCCGACGACATATTATTAGATTGTTCACAATTACTGGTTAGGAGTATTGTTCACATAAAAATTTGGATGCATTAAAATCCTCAGTAATATTTTTACTTTATGAGGTAATTTGTAACACGCTGTAAGATATTTAAAGGTCTCTTAGTAATTGATTGACTGATAGAATATCTCACTTTATCTTTGAAAATGTGTCCATGAGCCAGGGCAGAAGTTATGAACTTTAAAAATTTCTCTACAATTAATTAACCAACTCCAAAGTTCCCAAACCTTTTTCAGATCAGAAAATCATTTTAATACTTATTATCCTGTGTTGTTTACACTTTTGTAGTAGTGGCTGGTATTTTTCATACTGCTTGTACACGTTGTGCAATTTTAAATCCATTACCTTTAGAGCAGCCCTGATGAAGTTTTTGAATCTGAATTCGGTTATCAAAGGTTAGTTACAACGCTAATTATGACTGTAATTCAATACATCAAAACAAATCAACCTCTTTGTGTCATTTAAAAATATCAAACAGATAATTGTAGATTTAGTACTTTTAAATAACACTAACTCCTCTGATACGTGAAAATACTAAGTTTATTCACAAACGTACGCAACAGAGTTCTGTTTACACTCACTTCATAGTAAAGTTACTACTAATAAATATAATTTATTCTGGATCCTTTCAATCGACAACCTGCAAGCGTGATATTTCTCAAACAATTCTCGATATTAAATTCTGACCAATAACAACAGATATGTTTTGCTAATGCCAGTATGCTACTTTCGAAACCCCTCCCAGCTTCAAATTCGCTCCACAATATTGTTTTTAAATATAATAAGCAAGGACTTTAAATGTGGCTAGTTCTTGTCTTAAGGTAATGTGAGGGGTGATCAACTCCCAGATATAAAGCATAAAATGTTAGCTTCATATTATTCCTAAAAGTCTAAAATAATTAATTATCAGCATAGAGTGACATACATTCTTTGATCTAGTTGCCATATCATATTTGCACACGATAATCATAAAATGTATCATTAAGAGATTGGAATAATGTGACATTAGTGAAAATAAAAGCAACAGATCCAGAAACTCGCCCAAAAAATTAGGATGAAAAAGTATGAATAAATAAGTTCGAGATCTGGTGGAATAGAGCAGGGTGCATCTATCGCACTTTGAACAGTTTCAAGGTGTTTTGTCTCTTCTTAAGTACTTCACCAAACGAACCATTCCTACATACATGAATACTAAAAATGAAAGCTAATTGTTTCATAAATGTTTGAAAATACAAATGCACAACAAATCGATGTGTCTTAAGTGACAAACTAAATATCTAGGAACATGACATATGAACGTCATGCTCAGGTATTGTGTTTCAGAAGTTTTTACGGAAGCATACTTTCTGCAGGTATCGCTAATAAGACAAAAATATCTCTTTAGCCTTGAAGCAAATGATAGGTTATAACATAAAAGTTTTCAAGAATCATTTCATCAGTGAATAGCATACTTACAGATAATATCTTCTTCACACTTCGTCCCACTCATTTGGCACAAATATTAACAAGAATGGAACATCCCAATAAAAATACAAACCCGAAATTGAAAGCTGCCTTGTTATGACGGTTCGACAATCATTCTCAACTTAATATTGCAGATTTAAAGACGAATGAAACATTTATGCATTTTGTGATAATGTTTAGTTTCTCGAGACTCAAATTGTTTTAAATGTACATGCTTTTTTATCTGTTAAATCACTGTGACGTTTTTTAGAGTGGATGACCATAAATATAAGATATATTGTTACTTAAAAAGTTAGATCTGAATCTGGGTAACACATTATTAAACTTAAGTGACGCGCAACTAAGTAAATAATTCTATCTTACGTGTACAAACAAACTCAAGGTCAAAAAGAAACCAAAGACAAAGTATTATCCTGTCATGTTTGCCGTCACAGTGCATGTAACATCCATCAGTTTTCAGCAGCAAAGAATAAGGAAAGATGTAGGGGAAACTTATGATACAATGTTTGAGAGTTATAGCCTAGTATGCAGTGGCCTTTCTAAAGAGTTTGAGTAGTCTAATGTCTCAGCATCCCACCTATTTATTAATAGTTTGAACCAAATTCTAAAACTTTTTTTCTTAGTCCTAAAGTTCGTTGGAAGTATTTTTCGCTTGAAAAATTATAAATAGTCTTCAGAGCTTATCATAATAATTCGAGTGATGAACGTCAGTAGTTACAGTACGTATTGCTGCGAAATCCCTGTTTATATTTAGAAAGGTCAATAAAATGTAGAAAACCAGTTTAATACAACATTAAAACTAACATTATAGCAGAAGAAATAGAATGAATTGTTTCAGTCTATTTTTCTTAGATAGGTCATCATTCCGTATCGTCATTTCCTCAGTCATTAGCTTTCCATTCTCTCGTAACTATGGGCCATTTAACGCTATTCCCGTCACGTTTTAGTCGAACCATGTATATTCATGCTTCGTAAGTCGACGTTATCGTTGAAAAACATATCGTATGTACACAAGAAATCTCAGTCTAAACCTTAACTAGATGATTTGTCGTATTGCCGTTAGTAATATGTTACTTAACTCTTTCTGCAATATCTGCTTACGAAACGACTACGATACCTGAAGCACTCAAACTGTGGTCACATTGACGTTTGCCATTTTTAATTATGTTTACTATCCGCTTTGCATTTAAAGATGCCACAAGTATTTGGAGTTTGACAGCACCAAAATCAGTAACAACTTTTATTATCAAGATGTGCCAACCCAGTCAAATCAAAAGTCGGAAACTGAGAGGTATGGAAATATGTTTGATAAGCTATCGATATATCGAGAATTGATCAATCTAAGCTGGCTAGAGACTGTAGAAGGTGTGAAGCACGGAGTACCCACTCGTGAACAGGCGCAGTTGCGAAGCCGTGAGGTTTCAGCTAGGTGAGTATACGAGAACTGATGCAGTCAGCATCAAAACATCGAGGACTTACAGAGATATCGAATTTGGGGATTAATTTACCGCTACATATTTAATGTTATCTCATACGGCAAACCATGACTCGACTTCTCTATTGCATGTAAGTCATCTTAATTCTATTTTCGGCTTATATACATGCACTACGGGTTTGAGAAACATCGAAACGACATCTGAAACTCTTAACGAACTTAACCATAATCTTCGTGTACGTTTGTATTTACGCATCCAACTCTTGCATTATTAATACCCAAACTAACGTTCAAAACAACTATCAGTATACATTAAAACGATGTTATATCGCTGTGACATTAGAACACATTCGAACTATTGCATTTCTTCCACTTCAACATCGTACTTTCTGTATTTTATGAAGTAACTTTTCCTCGTGGCTGTAATGTAACAAATCAGTTGAACACAAAAAACAGATTTTCACACACTCGACGATATAAAAATTGCCCTGTTCAACAGGCGGTCTGACGGCACAATCCTTCGCACGAATCATCAGTTTACAGAGTCAAGCAAATCTCTTGCAAACTGAAAACGATAGTGTTGTCTCTACACCAAAACTGACAACGTCTTGCGTCAATATTATTGACATGAGTCTGGAGTACCAATCCTGGTTTCTTATGTTCTCTTAGGTTCAGTTATTATAATAATATCACATCGATCAGTAACGTTCTACCTTTACCGATTATAACAGAGATCATCAGCTCTCAAAGCTCTGATGAAAAGTTGGTCAATAACTTTATGCGTACGCTTCTGTACTTCCAGTTAATCTGCAAAATATACACATGTAGTATTATCGTCTAGTTCGTTATTAGTAACACGACAATAGAACTATTTCCTAATTTATAAGATCTTACGTGGAAGTCACACCGACTCGTCTTACCGTGACAAACAGCAATATGACGTCTAACATTTCCGAGGACCACATTAGCGCTGGCAAGAGGGTGGTATATTGGATACAAAAAGAGAAATGTTATAATTATTGACCGCGCCTGCATGGCCGAAACGTGCCAATTCTATTCCTTCCTCTCATGTTATCACTGTCAATTTTCTCTCAGTGTTACATGTTAAAAGTAAATTCCTCAGCAATTCTACACTCAGCTTTAAAGATCATGTAGTTGATAGCTCTCTAGATGTTACCAAAAGAATAATAAGAGTCCTCCAGGCATTGATAACTAAAAAATAAATCAAAAGAAGGGCGGCAGCAACTGATCGGTAATTGTGTGTGATGATTTCAGGATGTTTGGTTTCATTTTTACCACGCTCAAAATGAAAATCTATGAGGTTATTCAAGAGGTAAACAAGGTAGTATTATAACAAAGAAAAATGATTAAATATAGATATATTTTACCAATTTACTTTGAAATGCATAGAAATAATCGTTAGTTATTGGCGTACCATATGGGTAGTATAAGTATTTTGCGCTTAAAAACTGAAAATTATTCAATGTTGTAGAAATTCTGATAGAGGTGTAGCGTGGTGTCGAGTCGCGCTTGACTATGAACACCACTACAAGAAGACTACGTGACAGTTAACCAATAAGATCCCCGTAGGTCAATATCAGAAGGCAGATAATGGCTGTAGTCGAGATGTATTTGCTGGCGATCTCGTGGTATCGAAAGAATACCGAGATCGTGCCGAAGAAGTACAAGCGTAAGTACTAAGCGTAAACGAATTCGTACAAGTTCAAAGTCAACGGGAGAGAGTGAGAGTAATGGCTGTCATAATTACAGTTAAACAAACGAGCACAGTAAAACAATCACTGGTACAATTGGTTATAATATAAATTGTTTTCAATCAACCAATCGCGTTTCGTTGACAAAAGTAGGTCACTACAGGAGCCCTCCGCTAGAAAGAGTTTACTCTTTCGATAGGTACTGGTTTGGATCGTGGGACTGATAGGCAAATTGAGGTTGTAGGACGAAGAATTGGCGAAACAGTAAGCGATCGTTGGTCCTCGAGTTGCCAACGAAAGTCTTTTGCGTAGAACGGCACCAGGAGAAGCGTGCTGTATTTGTTGCTCGTGTTAGCATACCACACCACAGTGGTTTGTATCCAGGATCTGAAGATTACGTTCGTAGGGATGCGGAACAGGGAACGTTGCAGACTTAGGACGAAACCACGTTGAGCCAAGAACCCGCAGGCGACCATGACGACCAAGCGTATGCCCGGCGGAATCGAAACTAGATTATCGACTGAGTGCGTTGACAAGAGCGTGGGTGATCAGGCCAGCTTTCGCCAAGGTTGACTGAAGTCGACGTTACCAAACGGGCGATGGATGAAGGCGTTGGCTCGGGGTACAAAAAAATCGAATAAAAGATAAAGTGTAGCATGCATGTGTTACTGGAGAACTAAAGACATTTGGCTGATTACAACCTTTATATTAAATATCATTAATTTCACTGTGTTTTTGGATGTATTTGTTTTACTTAACTTTTGAACTTGTTTGTTTGTATCATTATTTTCGGACATTTTGGTTTCTGTTTGTCTATGGTTTAGTATTTGGGAGATTTTGCTCTGGGAACCTACAAAATTGAAGGTTTGTTTTGCAATTGTTATAATTATTGTTGTTAGAACGACATTTAGTCGACTATTTGTGAATTGCGAATAAATTTTGGTACCTAATTTGGAGTTTGGTTCTGTTGTTAATTTGATTTCGTAAATTGCAAATAGATTGACATACCGTACTTCAATAACGGGAAGGAGCGAAAACTTAGACGTAACATGCATGTAGTAAGGAATAGTTCTACACCGTTTCCGTTCTTGAATGTGCGGTTAGTCACGAAAGCATACGGGTAAGCGTACTCGACGACCGGAACGTGGGACGGTAGTCTCATTCGTACTTCGTGAGCCTGCAGTCGTGCGGCGATGAGACGTAATGTAGCTGCGATACCTGGATGAGACGATCCATATAGGGCATCGAAAACGAGACGGTGATAAGCAGAGGGTGCGATGGGTCGAGGAAGATCGGAAGAAGTATCACATAGGATAGTACCTGAGCTAGTACCTAGGGGTACTTCCTGGCACTGAAGGGACGAAGATTGTGGCGCTTCTGTACAAAAAGGGTCGTTTGCTTGAGCGGCGGCCATAGCAGTAAGATCGAGCACCGGTAAAATAATTGCATTCGCTTGGATACGTGAAAGAGCGTCGGCAACAAAGTTCGACTCGCCTTTAATGTGACGAAGGTCTGTCGTGAACTGAGAAACATAGTTCAAATGTCTGCATTCTCGTGGTGTGTAGTGGTCAGACATAATATGCAGGGCAAACGTTAAGGGCTTGTGGTCGGTGAATAAGATGAAATTACGACCTTCTGCTGCGTGCCGGAAATGTTTGATGGCACAGTAGGCTGCAAGCAGCTCGCGACCAAAAGCGCTATATCTCGTCTCCGTGAAAGTAAGTCATCGTGGGAAAAATTCGAGCGGGTGCCAACCACCGGAGATGTTCTGTTGCATAACGGCTCCTATAGCAAAGTCCGGTGCATCAACCGCTATACTAAGCGTGGCTGATATGACGGGATGAGCGAGAAGTGTAACTTGGGCGAGAGCCGTTTTGATCTCTGAAAATGCAGTGCGTGCGATATCGTTCAATTCTAATTTGCGTGGATTACCGCGTAGTAAATCGGTTAATGGTCGTAACCGTTCTGTCGCGTGTGGGATGAGACGTCGGTAGAAGTTAACCAAACCGAGAAAAGCCTCCAGTTCCTTGAGTGATGGACGGCACGTTGTACTCCTTTATTGCTCGAACTTTGTCCTCGCAAGGCAGAATACCCTCTTGTCTGATGATGTGACCCAAAAATATTATTTCTGGTTTACCTAATTCACACTTGTCTGGGTTGAGCACTATTCCGCTATCCGAATGGCGTTGGAATAATAGTGTAAGGTGTTGATAATGTTCGTCTCCGTTTGATAATCCCATTAGCAGGTCATCAATATAGACGTGAACAAAATCCAAGTCTCGTACTAAGCTATCGATAAACCTTTGGAAAGTTTGAGCAGCATTCCGTAATCCAAAAGGCATTCGCAGAAACTCAAACAGACCGAAAGGAGTCGTAATAGCAGTATTTTTGATATCTTCAAGAGCGACTGGGATCTGGTGATATGTTCGTACCAGATCGATCTTATAAAAGATAGTCGTGACCTTGAGCGATGCCGTGATGTCGTGTATGTGGGGGTGGGATAGCTTTCAAAGCGCGTAACTACGTTTAAAGCTCGGTAGTCGCCGCATGGTCTCCAACTTACCACATCCTTTTTGCTCACCATCTGAAGGGGTGAGACCGAGACACTGTGAGAAGGATGAATAATACCAGTAGACAGTAAATTGTCAAACTCACGTTTGGCAAAGGCTAATTTGTCTTGTGCCAGTCGGCGTGGTCTTGCCGTGACTGGTGGTCCACGGGTAACTATGTGGTGTACCACACGATTGGTCACCGATGAAATCTCCTTGAATGGTCTAGTTTATCTGGGGAATTGCTCGAATAAAGAGTGGAATTTATCGTCACACGAATAAAAAGTGCCGAGGATTCGGTACGCGTTTGTGTGAGCTTTAAAGCCCATGAATTTACTGTTCGACGAAGTATCGATTAGCTGCAGCCTACGTGAATCGACTAGCAATTCATAGTGCTGTAGGAAATCAATACCTATTATGGCTGTGGGAACATCAGCAATGATGAACGTCCACAGATACCGTCGTCGGTTGCCCAGGTTGACCGCGAGTTGTCGTGTACCGTAGGTGGGAATGGCTGAGCCATTTGCAGCGCGTAGTCGAAGCATTGTAGCTTGTGACTTAATGCTACCTCGTGGTACGACAGAAACTTGGGCACCTGTATCCACTAGGTACCTAGCGTTTGTGCGATAATCGTGCACGTAAAATAAACGGCCAACCTGGGGGGCAGGGCCGGCGAGTACGGCCGCTTTTACTCGCCGGCTTTGGAGTTTCCCGCCTTGTATGAGCACGGGGCTCGACAACGGCGGGCACCAGATCCGAAGGATCGATGAAACCAGCACCAACCTTCACTCGCTTCCGAAGCCGCCTTTTGGCGTGGCTTGGAAGATGCCCTCGTTGGGCGAGTGTTGACGGCTTTTCGGGAGCGTGAGCGGACTCGAGGGACGTAGGGTTGGGGTACGTTACAACGGTCTCGAAAACTAAGACGTGTGTGAATACACCCTTCCCTGTCACCTCGAGCCGGGAATTGACTAGCGTCGATATCAACGTTCGAACGTGACGATGAGGCAACTACGAAGCTGTCTCGGCTGCCAGTTTTTGCCAATATACTGTCTGCTGTGAGGGCTACCTGTTTCAGTGGTGCGTCCTCGAGCAGGGCCGTAACTGTAGGTTGGATAAATGCTGGTAGAGATTCGAGCCACAGTTCTTTAACAATTTCAGAATCGGCTGCCGTGGGTCCTGCAAGAGATTGCAGGCGCATGAGGTGGTGGCTCGGTTTAGCATCACCCAGGGGGCGACGTGCTAGTAACGTCCTCAATCGTTCCTCCCTCGATGGGAGGAAATGTCTAAGGATCGCCTCTTTGAGACGATCGTAAACATTGGGCACATTGGAATTGAGGACAACCTCACGGACAGCTACTAAATGGTCTCCCGGTAAACATTCGAGAGCGTAAGTGTACTTCTGCCGTTGGCTTGTAATATGACGGGTCTCAAATTGAGACTCTATAGCAGCAAACCAAACTTCCGGGTCATGAAGAATAAATGGTACAGGTCGAAAATAGATATCCTGTACGTCTGAGTCCGTAATATTAATGCAGCTTTTGTCGTCATCCGTCATGTCGAGTATATTATATATTACAAATTAATATGAAAATATACGACAGACGTGGATAGATTAACCAGAGACTCACCGAATTGTTTTCTTTGGATGATTTGACCAGAGGTTGATGTGTATTCCAAAATTCGACTCACCAATTATAGCGAGGTGTCGAGTTGCGCTTGACTATGAACACCACTACAAGAAGACTACGTGACAGTTAACCAATAAGATCCCCGTAGGTCAATATCAGAAGGCAGATAATGGCTGTAGTCGAGATGTATTTGCTGGCGATCTCGTGGTATCGAAAGAATACCGAGATCGTGCCGAAGAAGTACAAGCGTAAGTACTAAGCGTAAACGAATTCGTACAAGTTCAAAGTCAACGGGAGAGAGTGAGAGTAATGGCTGTCATAATTACAGTTAAACAAACGAGCACAGTAAAACAATCACTGGTACAATTGGTTATAATAATAATTGTTTTCAATGAACCAATCGCGTTTCGTTGACAAAAGTAGGTCACTACAGAGGTATTATCTTTGGTTTAGTTTTTAAAGTTAATTTTAATGTCAGTATCTTGTCCGTAGGTATTGATTTCCAATTTCATTTTTATTATTAGGCTGGATGAAGTAACAGAAGTATAACCATGTAGAGGAAAATTTCGATCTAGTGTCCTAGTTAGTTTGTTCACTCTAATTTGGTCTATTTAGTTACGGGGATGTTTTTTCAATTTTCCTACAGCCTAACTGTGACAAAGGTTCAGTAATATAACGATACATACGAATTATTATCCAAAATATTTTTAAAACGTAAGAAGTGTTAATTATATGGATTTTGGACAGACAGCTCATGTTAGTTCGTCGAACGCAACCGTGAGTAAAATACTCTAGACTCAATGTTCTGATTTGCAATAGACCAGGTATTTATATTCATACATACTTGTTGATGGTGTATACAAGTCATTTGCAAGTATCAAGTTTGAGATAGCATTTAGATCAATTTCTGTGAATGTGAACACTTATAAGGTATTTAAATCAACTAAGATTATGTGCCACACATATAGGTGACATATGGTTGTACGATGCTTTCGGATAAATAAATCTTTACATGATAAAAAGTAAGTGCTGCCTATATGAACATGAGGGAGAAAATAAGTTGTAACAAATGTATAAATAGAATTTGACATTTCAACGACACAGACTAACTCTTTACTTTAAGTCAATGGTGGTACAAACATCGGCACCGATTGGTAACACACTTATAGTATTATCAATATAGTATCACCACACTTGTAGCGAACTGAAGGTTGCTTATCTGAGAAACTCAATCAATTGATAATGCAATATATTTCAATAAGGCTTGATAGGACTTGAAAAATACCAGTTTTTTTTGTTGTCATCGTTAATTGCTTGACATTAACCCGACCTGAAAGTTATACTTTTTAACACATCAGAAAATTCAACGTTCCCAGATTTATCATTACTCGCTATTTCCTGATCAGTTGCTGCCGTCTTTTTTTTATCGGTCTACCATCTCAGCAATAGTCGGAGTATTCCTATCTCTCGTTTGGCAGCCTGTAGAAAGTGACTGCTCCCGGAGAATATGGTACCGATTCAAACGGCCGTCTAATTCGGTGATAGAGTATTGCAGAGCCAGTGAAATGTCTCTGAGCCCTAGCTTAGTCAATCTGCAGACAGGTTACTTAGTATCGAACAGTCCACCAATCAAGATCAGGGACAACCAATGACCATCAGTTAATTGCACAGCATGGACTAGCCTACGAGGTGATAGTCGCACTTTGTTGCTTGTAGCTACCCTAATTAATATATTTCTGTAATGACGTCACTCGTGTTGAACAGTCATCAAATCAGCCATAGTGCCAGGATACGAGGAGAGGGTAATTTACACTCGATAGTGACCGCAAGGTGTCACTTCACTGTTAGCTGGTCTGTAACACAACCGTCATCAAACTCGAGTAGCCTCCAAACATTCGATACAGATCGTCTACGTTAATGGTCTGCACTAGTCAGCAAGTTTAGTATTATGACTGCATTCTACACTTGTTCTTTTTCATTTTTATCGTTGCCTAAGTTTGTGAATTACTGAGAACACTTCTTGTCATGTCTCAATGTTGAGTAATATTCGAGTTCGATTGATCGAAATAACTATTCAACTACGATTATAACTGTATATCATTGTTATGTAACAAGGAGTAGTAGCATGTTAGTGCTCCTGTATGATATATCTTTTAAAATACCAACTACTCGTAAGTATAGCTACAATGTACCGCAAACGCACATTTGTCTGTAGCATACGTAGGCAAAACCGACCAGCTAACAAATATAATTTCATCGTCCAGCTTAATCAATCCATACACAATTTTATGTCAAAAACTATCATCTAGAATATTTCTCTTACTTGATCACTACCAGCTTAATTTCCATTTGCAGATATTCATGATCAAACAGAAAATAAAAACGACAGAAATCCACAGTTTTTGGATTATAAATTTTCCGCAATTTTAGATTTCGTTTAAATTTTTCGTTCAGGCGATGCCACGTATCTAAAGAAGTTATTTTTAGACCTATACAAAATCAGTCTGCAACACTGTTAGACCAAGAATTAAATCGATAATATCTCGAACATGATCAAAATTCTCTTGGATTTAAATCTTCAATATATATATATATATATATATATATATATATATATATATATATTGATGAATGAGTAAACTAACAAACCCCACACACATTTTCAATTTGAAAATTCAATCGAACGGACAACAGGTTTTAAGTCTAGTCTGTTGTTAACAATTCTGAAGAAAATGAAAAATGACCATGTAATCAACGAAGATATCTACCAAGAAGATCAATAATACCACGACTTGAAGGCTTGCTTATAATACACAAACCCAGACTATTTCCAACGCTTTTGCTGGTCAAATTCATGTTCTAAAATTACTTATGTAGCCTCAAATCTTAATGGACTTATGTGAACATTAAACGCCATAGAAAAAGTCATGTTTATTCGACCGTTTAAACAGAAAAAGATGACAGCAATACACAGTTACTTTAATGCTTTATTTGAATAAATACAATGTACCCGTTACAAAAGAGATGGTAAACCAAAACGTCATTTCCTAAAACAGTAATATATATTTTGAGATTATGAAAACATTAAAAGATTCATTTATATTCTATATATCACGAAACCTTGGGTAACACAGCATAAGAATTATTTACATACAACTGGAGAACATAGACTTTTACGTTTAATGTAATCAAGAATGTAAACGAAGAAAAAGATCAGCTACAAACCATGCTGTATGACATTTGTATTCACAGTTAATTAACCTAAAAAATGAAACAAAATTAAAATCAAAGATAATGAATAAACGTATGGATTTGTTAATAAAAAAAACCAAGAGGTTTGCTAATGATTTGATTTCTTATTTGTGTCTACAAATGTCCAACTTCCAACAAAACAGATTGATTAACTGGCCGATGAAAGTCAACTTAGGCTCATTCTTCGTGATATTTTTACAGAAATATTACTGCAGTAGAATGAAATCAAAAGTACAAGTACTTATAAACTATTGCCTACGCAAGATACTGAATGTTTTTTGATCGGTGATCAACAGCAACAGCCTACTGTGGGAGAAAACAAACCAGCTTCCAGCTCAAGAGGATATTAAGAAAATACGATGGACGTGGGTAGGACATACATTACGGAAATCGCTAAACTGCATCACGAGGCAAGCGCTAACTTGAAATCCTGAAGGGAAATGGAAAAGAGGAACACCAAAGAACACACTGTGTTGGTAATTGAAAGTAGACGTGAAAAGGATGAGTAGTAACTGGAAAGGATTGTCCAGAAGAGAGTTGGATGGAAGTTCCTGACGAGCGGCCTATGCTCCTCAACGAAGCGTAACACGCGTAAGTAATTAAGTAGGAATAAACTCAGTAACTGACGATGCCACCCTTACAACCTAGAAAAAATGACCATATCGCACAATCATGCTTCCATAAATTAACAAAAATATGTTTAATGCTATTAAGACAAATCTGTATTTCAAAGAAGCATTAAAATATTATTCATTATTGAACTAATCGAACGCAATAACAAACAATAAAACGCACATAAGAGAAATAAAACAAGGTGAGTTAAAATAAAATGAAAACAAACCATGCAACAAAACACTCTAAATGACATTAATATGAAAAAATTTGGAAATAGTTCTTACTTAGATAATTTATCTGATAAAACTGTTAATTTATGCAGTTCAGCAGGTGTTATTGAAGATTTTAAAGATTCTATACTTTCTTTGTGTTGTGATTCAGACTCATTCGAATCATTAAGAGATACACTAGACGAGGATTCGTTGTATTCATTCAACTTAGTCTGATGTTGCAGGATAAGAGACTCAATACGGTAACGCTGTTCGATTAGACGACTGAAAAGAGGAAACATATATACAACTATCACAAGTACAGATATCTGACAATGATTTCAATTTATAGGATCATCAATTTGACACACAAGTTATCGACATCAAGGTTTGAATATTAGAGAAAACAATTTTTAGGAATTGTAAGTATAAGGTTGTGGAGATTGTTGGAGTTTTATTGAGACCATGAATCGATCAATGTTGGGCCACCAACAAAAGCCTGAAAGCACTGGATGGCCGTTTCGTACTATTATGAGAATTCTCAGCAGTACGCATTCACAACCATGCACACGGAATTCAAACCTAGGACCTCCGGTCTCGCGCACAAACATTTGACCTCTAGACCACTGAGTCGAGATCTAACGGTATTAACGTCTAAGGCATATATATATATACATATATATATATATATATATATATATATATATAAGAACTTGAGATTCTTTTAGATGAAGATATTTTCAATGACTGAAAATTAGATATGACTACAATGAATAATATCATATTACACGCTCTAAAAATCGACACAAAGCAAATTATATAGCATACCTTTTCTGTGAAAATTCATAATCACGACGCAAAGAGATACGAAAAACCTCGTATTGTGAAAGTTCAATTACCAATCGAGCAACTTGCAACAAATTGATGGAATACAAACAAAAGATAGTGTCTGCTGTGTATTCCTTCGTTCGCGATAGTTCCTAACATATTTATAGATTAATAGAAAATGAATATATATATATATATATATATATATATATATATATATATATATATATATATAACTATTCAATTGCCTTTAAAAATGGTTTTCTTCAAGAACAAAAACTAACTATTCAGCAAGTTACGCACCTAAAAAACTTCAAATCTCAAAGTGAGAACAATACATCAAGATCACAAAACTAGATTTTAATAATTTGTACTTATAAATCCAGTCAATTTATGCTATAATACAAAGGAAACCTAATTAAAACTAAAGTTTCATAATATTTGAAGTCTATTTCCCTAAATTGACTAATTATGTAGCAACGGAATTAATGCTAACCAGTTTTTATCAGCTTTAGAGATTCTCTATAACGAATCCAACTATCTCCCTAATTTTATAATTTACTTCATAAACTGACCTTAGTCAGAAAACTATTGAAGACTGCCAAGCACTGGACAGTTTGTTTCGCTTTAGTATGGGGCACAACGGGAATGATTACTAACGGCTGCGGCCTGAATTTTTATCTTTGATTTTTCATTATTTCAATACACAACACTTTTTTACCGTAATTCCAAAGATATCGTAAAGATATATGTAATAATTGTTGGACTAATCGACGGTTTGAAGTATCTGTAATAAAACTTATACGAACGATTCGGCCATTAAAACAATATGAATTTTATCCAGGCCAAATTACAACAGATCAAAAGAAAACATCATCTATAACTTAATTTTCAGTAATTATGAGAAGCCCTAAACAGCACAAAGCGATCACCTGCTCCGTCTACGTCTACATAAACATCAACTGGTATTTAAATGCCAAGAACTAGTTTCTTTCAAACCAATACATGTGGACAACCATGAACGTGATTTCAATTGAGGAAATGTCAAGATACCGGACAGAAGGCACGTGAAGAAAGCCAGTGAATTCTTAGAAGCATGGCACTCTGGTAACAGATCAATCAATGGACATTGAAATTAACCTAATCCACCAACTAGTCAGGAAAAGGATAAACGAACCCAAGGTTATAGGTGAAAACAACCAAGACAACCATTCGGACAACGCTCACGCACACTATGGATAACAACCAAACAAATACTTCTCGATCAACAGAACAAGCAGATAGTAAATATTGTGGAGAAATTCTAACAATTCATTTCGTATTGACGTCTGTACTGATGGTATTGTCGATAAAGACAATGTAGGCTTCATGATTAAACCATTCAGCCCACAGAATGAAACAGCCTCGAAATCATTTGCCCGAGCTATAAATATTCTCCACAATCTCAATATTAGTAAAACTACTGGTAACACTTATGCATAAGTCAATATGTAAATTATAACTTACAGTTGTTGTAATAAGTCCCATAGATACCATACGTGGTAGTATTCGTCGGAAATCACTTTGGGGAAGCAATACTCTTCGCTCAATCTACAGAGAACACAATGAAAATGATTTGACAAAAGCAAAAATGATGACAAGAAAGGAAATTCAACATTCAATTGTATAATTAAAAAAAAGTTAATTATAAAGGAACAAGTGATATGTAGAGATAATTTCTAAGTTTAAAATAGAGAGTAAGAATTGAAAATAAATATAACAATAATAACGATAATATGATATCTGCTTATAATACTTGTGACTTAAGGAGATATCGAGGCAATCCGCACAGGATGCACATATGCTAATAAAAGACTGGTCAATTGTAGTCCTAAACATCAATGTGAAGATTCAAACAACCAATACAAAAAATGAAATAATATGATCAATTCCGAAAGTAGATAACACTAAGTGAAAACACTTGACAAAACAAAATCTAAATAAAGCTTTATGTTAATTAATTGTAATGTGGTCGACGAATCAAGAAACTGCTCTCTTTCCTTTCAACATCATGGCAATCAATTTATACCAGAATAATAATATCTCGTTTAAAATAGTCAATAATAAAAAATAAACATAAATTAAGTGATCGTTTGATAGTAACTAGTGTTATGTTAACGATTAATCTAATGTTGATCGAAATTCACTGATCTAACAAAGAATATTCCATTTTCCGATAATTGAAAGAGTTTAATAAAACGTGAACCCAGTCGAAATATTAATATTTCACGGTGTTTCGGTCGTGTTACCGATAAAATGTACCTAGTACCACGTAACTTTAGTCTTCTAATAACAGTTCATTTAATGCATTTCGGTAATTAAGTAGAAATTCAAGTACTTTAAGCCATACAACAGTGTCCACAGAGACATTGTTCGACAAAAGTGAATGTTATTTCGCTATGTGTTATTTAAACGAAAACAAACCCTACTTATGATATTTTGATGCTTCTATAGAAACAACATAACTATTATGAAACTATGAATAAATTTGTGTCCAAATTGTTGTCCATAAAAGGGGGCTTAACCAATAAATCAAACATTAGATATTTCAAAACGATAATAATCGACCATAATCCATCAAAGTAAGCATAAACAAGATATTTTATGAATGTATGAAGATTATTTTACGAAAAATGATCATCACCAAAATAAGGTAATTTATTATGAACGAAAACAAAATGAAAATATGTACTCATATCGAAACTATTGGAAAGTTGAGCATCAAAATTAGTATTCATTCACCTCTTCTAAATTTGAAGGTCCAGAAAGCAGAAGAAATCGGAAAATACGTAACCCATTACTTTCAAAGCTAAGTTTCAAAATACAAACGGGAAAAAAATGTTAATTTATAATAGGCCAATAGCCAGTTATAGATAACGTAAGACCGACTATCAGGAGTGATAGACAAGAATAAAATATACTGGATTGAGCTCATACATGAGTCATGGTTATAATAACACAAATGATATATTCACAAGAGGCCTATAGACGTGCTTCAAAAACCCAAGTGACTAAACAAAAATCAACATTTGAAACTGATGGTTAATAGGTCCAAAGAATTTAGAATTTGACAAGAAACTATGATTCAGTATTATTTTAATGTTCAGTGAGTAATAATTACAAGGATTGAAATTTGACAAAATTTAACTTCAAAAACTATACTAAGTTGATTATACATGTTCACGTATCATTCAAGGATGTAATTTAGCATTTTAAGTAACACATCCCTAGACGTTATTATTATTATTGTTCTTATTATGCACTTCAGCAATAAATGTAATAGTTTCTATATCCCGCTTCGAAATACTTTCTGATAAGTTGATCTATACGATTTAGCTACTCACAACAACAACAAATCAAAACTTTATATAACACAGTTGAAAAATGGACGTAGTGGTGCAGTAGTGCTCATATTTTTTAAATTTTGAGTCTAAGTATTATTTTATATATCCTTGATTACTTGGTTTCATTCTTTCTTTTCAAAAGGTATTCTCTATGCTTGACTTTTCTACTGTTACGGATTCCTTTGGCTTTCATTTTTTTAATTGCTTGTCAGTATGCTAGTGTGAATTCGATATTCCTTCATGTCAGCTAAAGGCAAAGAAGAAAACTTTTCATGAGGGGAAATGAGTATAATTATTATATCACATGCATGTACTCATATTCCGTCTCAAGTTAAAACGGCAGGTGATGTATTACAAAAATGGGGTGCTATTGGCAGAATTTAACAAGGCAACTAGTGAAGTTTTCGACCGGAAAATTCGTGGATTGGCTGTAGTTAGATATCAACACAGTTGAATATCGGCTCGGTGGTTTAGAGGTTAAGCGTCCGTGCGCGAGACCGAAGGTCCTGGATTGAAATCACGTGTTAGAGATCATGGATGAGCACTGCCAAGGAGTACCATATTAGGACGGAATGGCCGTCCATCGCTTCTAGGTTTTCAATGGTGGTCTAACATCGATCGATTCATGATCTCAATCAAAATCCATAAAAGTATTGAAAAATAAAATAAGAAAACAACTTACAGGACTTGTATGATATACTCTACATTTTTGATAAATAGTTGTTTAATGACGTATTTGTAAGCTGATATTATTAAATGTTAAGGAAATTATTACAATAATATAAATGACAAAACTAAACATTTCACTGTATATTGAATGTGATAGATAATGCTTAAAATCTGTTGTTTTTTTTACATCTTTTAGAGAATATTTCACTACTGACATTAGTAGTATATTTTTATTTCTATCTCTGATACAAACATTTTTCACTAATAGGAAAAGATAACTGTAAACAAGACTTATACACAAAAAATAACTATTCTTTCTATGTAGAGAAGACAAATGTACACTTAAAACATCAAAGTGATAAATTAATTTCTCAAGTAAGAATACTTAGCTGAAATGTTACTACTGATTAATCTGTAATAAGTTTGAAAAGTTATGACATCAAAGGAATGAATTACACTTGACAATAACTAGAAAGGAGAACCTAGGACAAAGTTGGTTGAAGAATCCTGGTCAGTTATATACCTCAAGAGCGATAAGTTAAGTAATTAAAGTAAGTTTTAAAAAATTATCCAACATAAAGTACAAATAACTCTATTTCAACTTTCTTTAGTTGGATTCCACGTAATTAGTGTGACCAACAGTTGGAAATGTTCTCGAAAATAGTTGCTAAACACTGAATGAGTTCATTATTTGTCTTCCCTTCGATCATAAAGTTTTTATCTGACAAAAATGCATTCATTTTACTATTCATTTACTATTCCACTATTTTAGTAATAATCTTGATTATTTCACCTCAATATAAATAATGTGATTGTGAAACTCTAAAATGGTAAATATTCTCAATTGATGTTGAAAAATCAAAGACCAGAAAAAAGGAATACGACATGTGTACATGTAACCGGCTAATCCAGGTTGTTGTAAAAGAAATTTCACCTACAAAAAAGGGAATCTTTAGAAATGAATAAACAAATAATAACTATACAGTTATCAAAATATAAGGATAAGACATCGATTAAAACGCTTCTTGATGATTAAATGACACAATTTACTAGTTACGAATTATTTATACTTTTTATCTAATTTACAACTTTTAAAGTCAGTGAATACGTGAGTAAAAGTTATACTGAATTTTAGATGATTCTATCATTATGATTACCGGGCGATCTCTTACTAATTGTTGAGCACATAAATCCTGAAGATGGAAAATATCAATCGATATGATATTGTTTATAAAGACAATAAGAAGTTTGTGAATAAATCACTCTATGGAGTCTTAGAGAGGTGAATGTTTAACATTGGGTACGAACCTGTCATTGTTTGAGACTTTGTTACTGAGTGCATTAGAGAGCGACTAAATTACTTTACGATTAAGATATTTACACTGATTGCTAAAAAATCAGTAAACTCACTCATATGTAAAACTGTTTTTTAAGAGGGTCAACCACAGGTCCAATGATTAATTATTAATGTAGGTGTAAATCATTAAAATACCAAAGAAAACCTTAAGCTTACAGATATGTCTTAGTGATTAAGTCCTAAAGGCTTTCGACTATATTGGCAAAGATAAAACAATAAAAAAATTTTACGAGATAATACAAATCCCTCCATAGATAGTGAGGTCATGGGGTCTATACAGCACCATGACGTAGCAAATTTTATATGTTCAAACAACGTGGAGGAAAAATAACCCTGATGTATTCAAAGAAAATGCAAAAGGTGACGGTAGATATTTTAAATTTTTTGTGGAACATAATTATGGGTTGTGTGAAGAGTATAATAATTAACGTTTCAATGAATCCGAAAGCTAAACAATTGTGTTGATTATGGATTTTAATTTTGTGCACGATTACCTTAAGGTACCATAAATTTACTCAAACGTGCAAAAATCACTGATAATTAAAATGCTTACATTTAATACTAACAAAAAGCATACCATAATTACCTCATCATCTATCAGTAAAGATATGTACGAGGATATATGATCCGGTACAGTTCGCATACTTCGCAAAAGCTGTCGCAATAAATAAGCAAATTAGAGAAAAGTTAAAGAGAAGGGCAAATCATTATTTATAATGAACAAAACTACAGCATATTTTATCACGCTATGATATCAAGGATAGGAGGATTATGCTGAACAGACCTCAAGACATGATCTCAGTTCATAAAGTCATTTGGTTTTAGTTATGTAAAGTGGTGTCGTTTCTTAAGGATAGCTATTATTTATGATACATCCATATAAATTATATCTTAACTAACAGATTTTTCTTTACAGTTGTCTTTATCAGTCTTGTATTCAACAGATGAAATTTTACATAAAATTGATGAAATGATTCAGGAAAAACTAAAAAGCTTCCCCGAAGCCTAACCATTTCTAGTATATAACACCGGATGTTCCCTTAACCAATCAAAAGTGGATAAATACTTTACCAAAGTCACCAACAAATTTATTTATAAATTTAATTTTACTAGTAACAGCAAGTGAATAGGAAAGACTGACAGAAACATATTTACAAGGTTTTTGAACATATTCCCCGAAAACTGTGTTTGAAAAAAAATAAACTGCTTACAAGTGCAATCACTAGACATTTAATAGACAGCGAACATAACGTAGGTGCCCCTAACCCTAACAAGCAGCAAACATAGAATTTACTTTACTTTTCAAAGGCCAATGCTATTAAGCACTTTCCACCTGGTCATAGCATAAATAAAGTATGCTAAACCTCTTGTTTCCATAGTAAAACAATTACATTGTTCCAACAGTTGTCAACTACATAGTCTCATTATCATATTTTATTTATTTATTTGAACATACACATATTGGTAGGAGGCACCAGATAAATATGCGCCACACAAATTTCATTTGATTTGTGTGAGGGCTGCAATACTGCCCGGGTGCCCAAACCGAAGCGGGTGGTTTTCTTAGAGGGCTATACCCGGAGCCTTTGACCTAAAGGTATGATCCACAAGGCAGTGGAGCAACGTAAGGAGATGCAGTCCCATGGTAGCCGGTGGCCAATAATTGGTTCATACTCTATTTGTTCCCTCAAGATACTGAGGCTTATGTGAGCTATTGGTTTGTAATCAGGGTTTTCCAACTACCCTAGGTGGACTCTCTGTCGTATTTTTTACCGTACATTGTAAAAATTTCCATTGACATTCATGACTCGAGTTGAATATCATTCAACTGCTTAAAACATGTATTTTCTTCTTGTCTGTTTTCTTCTATGTCGTTTTGAACTCAATTTCCCTGATTAATGTGTGTATAACTGTAACTATGGGTCGCTTAAAGCGAATGAGAAATTTTGAAATGAATCCATGTTATGCTGTGAATCTTCTCAGTTTATTCAAATTTATTAAGCGATCAGTATCTATGGATTTTTTCACAATGTTATCCTTTTCTTGAAATCAGAAAATCTTCCATATAGTGACCAATTCTGGTATTTTTTTAAAAGTAAGAATTGTGTTGTATTCTATATCATTGAATGCTTTGAACATAAGATTCTTATCAAATATTACATATGGTAGATACTATTGTCACACTAAAATGACATGGTAATCACTTTAACTGAAACAGAATATATACAAAATAGAATTTATTCATTTGGAAAATTTAATAGAAGGTAAGTAAAATAATTGGATGATAATTATGCAAAAAATTTATGGATTGTTATGGTATTTATTATTTCAATAAAGGATATGATGAACCACAAATGATGAAAAGTGAGTATAATTGAATTGTTCTCTTCAATACTTCAAATATATATATATATATATATATATATATATATATATATATATATATATATATATATATATATATATATATATATATATATAGGAAACTATATAATAAATAGTAACATTTATTTTTAATAATCCATACTATGGAAAAAAAGTGAAATATGAAGACGAACCTCTGAACGTGAAACAGCTCCTGACTCTGGAGAAGTGATTCCTGTGCCCCTATTGGCAGCTGTAGCAATACATAATAAATGTGAAAGAATATCACCGCATATCTAAATTAGAAAAGAAAAGATGATCTATAATTATTCTATCCCCCCTCCCCAAATAAAACAGGAACGATTCAACAGATGTACTAGCAGAATCAAATGAACATAAAAATGCTTACTCCACCAAGTTTTTCACTTGCCAACTGACATATCAATCGATCTCTCCACATTGTCTCTAATGTTTGAATATTTGGACAGACCACCAATTTAAGAGATTTCACTAACTGAAGTTAAGAAAATTAAAACAAGACATAATTTCATATTTTTTTAAATTAGCTAAAATGATTGATTAAAAAATATATTAAAAAAACAGTAGAACGAAATGGCCATCCAGGGCTTCCAGGTTTTCCATGGTGGTCTACCTTCAATTGACTCATGATCTCAACTATTAAAATTACTACAATATCCACAAAACCCCTTCTGATATTAAAAAAATATTAATTAAAAGGGTTTGTGGAAATCAACGCAAGTTGTAGGTTGTATGTATGAAAAAATTGACCTCGGTTGGAGAAAATATTGAAAACCAGGAATTAATAGATGGCTAGATGTTCTGGTTTAGATTCCTGGTGACGTCATTAGTGCACAATGCTGAATATTCACATACTAGGACGAAGCAGTTGTTTATTGTCTCTTGGTTTCTAAAGGTATTATGATGACGATAAATCTGTAATAAATACAACTTGCAAATAAAAACGTTAACTAAAAAAGAACTGCAACAACAGGTTCATGATCAATAAATAAAAATTTGCTTTTGCAAAATCCCCCAGCAGTCTTGTCCAATCTCCATACAAATTCTCAATCTAAAATTATTTACAGAATCTTTTTATGAATAAATAAACTAATCAGGAAGAATATCACATGACAATGTTATTCATAAAGTCATTGTTCACTCATCAGGTATTAACGGATAACGATAAGTGATTTACATCAGTTTTCCAGGCAATAGTACATTAGTTTACCTCTTTCAAACAAGATTTTCATCGTCCAAGTTCATTTTTTATTGTAGTCAACATTATACTCGCTATCAATGAGTGCCTAATTTACACCATGCTCCATCTACTTCGCTATGAGAAACCAAAGTGACTGTGAACAGAGTAAATAAACCTGTACTCAAAGTATGGCCACAATTTATGGATCAATAATCAACTGGTCGAATAAATGTGAGTCAACTATTCAAAAGTGATTAGATGAAACAATTCGACGACCTATGCTCATCACAGACGGAGATGGCTAACTCATTTACCAAGCACAGCATCCATATCCCAGATAGGACTAGCAATATTAACCAGCTGACGAAGCCTAAGTAGATGAATGGGGTTCAGACATGGGACCTAGTGATTGAAGACTGAATATCCTAACCACTACTCAGCTGAAGTGCAAACAACTTATACTACTTACAACAATGAATATCTAGAATTAATTTAAAGCACTTGAAGGATTATGTTGAAATCTTTATGGAAAAATTAATAAAATCACCTCGGATGATTCGTCATAACGTTTTACGCGTTTACGCACTGGTTCATTATTTCTTTCATTTGCAATAGGCCAGTTAACAAATCCACTGGAAATGTAATTATGTAATGCCTCTAAATTAGAAATAAATGAGTTTTATTTAACAAGTTTATCACTGACTGTTTATTATTTATTTATTCAAACATTAATGTAGGGGGACGCAAAAATATATATGCGCCATACAAAGTAGTTACCGTTACATTTGTGTGTGGTCTTGGATACTGCCGAAGTAGGTGCTTGTCTTGCGGGGTCACTCCTTGAGCCTTTGACCTAGCGGTCTATTCCACGAGACAAAGGGGCAACGTTAGAAGCTCTTGGTCCATGGTAGCCGGTGACCGACAATAGGTTCATACGCCAATTATTCCTTCAGGACTATGAAGCCTATAAGCACTATTCATTTGAAATCAGGTTTTTTCCACTCCCGTACGCGGATTTTCCGTACCTACCAACCCGGCTTAAACGCAGGACATCTGAACAGTTAACAGCTGGGAAGTAAGAAAGTATCTTGATAGTCGATCTTTAGAAAATATCTCATGAATAAAATAGTTCCATAGCCGAAATAACATGATTAATACTTGATGTAATGTAAGCTAGTAGGCACGGAAACAACCGTACATGGATTAACTTCCTACTATAGAATTTTGTGGAGAGAATGCTGCCAAAACATGACAAAGATATACTTAATTATTATACAATTGAAGAGACTTTGTATGAAATATTTCTGGATTCTCAGACCTACTTTAATCCCAGATAACAAATTGTTACTAAGCAAACCTCTTATTTCGATAAGTAGTATTTGAAATTGCTTGTAAATACAATATAAAAGCAAAGGAAACGTTGGTTGAGAAACAGATAATTAGATTATTTGGTGTAAATAAACCCTTGAAGATGAATCTCTGCATAATCAGCAATATGAAGAAATATCAGTGCATAGATATTAAACTCTTATTACTAAACTGCGAGGTCGTTCAGTGAATGAATGTCTAACTTCTAGCTTTCGAGTTGTCGATCCGAACCCCGTTTCATCTACTTCGATTCAGGAAACAAGTTATAATCACTAGCCCTCATAGTGAGTGATTCAAATTCACGTACCTGGTAGTATGAATTAGAAAATAAATAAGTAAAACGCCATTATTGATCTGTATAACAACTCTTGTAGAAAAAAACGAGACGATCTGTAGACAAAAGTCAATTAATACTACTTCTAGCATGGTAAATCGCACAAGGAAGACAGGAAAGAAGTGAATTGGGATAGTTCATCTAACTAACCACATATATCGTCCTTTGGCATTTGCATTTCAGATTCCGAGACATTGACGTGTACAGGTGCTTCAGCTGTTCGAGAAGGTACAGTCGATACATTAGTTTCCTTGTTAGATTCAACTGACCACAGCTTCGGATTTACAATTTGAAGGACATTGGTTTTAACAAGAGTAGTCACAGTGGTTCCTAAAGCCTCAACATAGCTGTGTTGTTCTTCTAGAGGGACTTTATAAAAGATTAAAAGTATTAAAAAATTTCCAAATTACGTTTATTATGAAGATGCTTTTTAACACAATGCACTAACAGATCACTTAAAGATCCACGCCCAAACATAGAGAAATAAATCATAGCCTGCTCAGCAACCTTGCCATAGTAATGAAACACGAGTTTACAAAACAATGGAAGTCTAAATGCAGAACAATATCCAAGTCAGTAAATTATTAATATCATCATTACCTTGGCACAAAAAATATTCGTTCATAATTTAAACTGTATTTTAATATCTGATCTTTCTGTATAGTTAACATGGAATGTCTGATAAGTGAAATAAGGCATCTAAAATGTAGTTATTATTGATTATGAGGACAAGAAGACTAACTTGCAAACTCGGCTTGAGTGTAACTTTTTGTGAGAATCCCTTAAAATTTCCGACAAACTTGATGAACCTTTAACACACAGAATATGTGTGCTTACTGTGGCAGCTTCACCAAAATACTTATTTAGAATATAACATGCGTATTCAGATGCCGCGTCTGACATTTAAGAATTATTGGTCTTTCGCTACAACAAAAAAGAAAACTCGAGATCGTGATGTATATAAATATATAAAAAGTTAACCAGTTAGAAAACCTTGAGAGAAGGGACAGTTATTATGGATTGTAAGTAGATGCACATATTGTTTAAATTTTTACATGAATATATACAAACATATTGTTCGATGATCGAACCGATGACCTCCAAAAATGATGCATGCTGAACCCTTGTAAACATTAAGGTTGACTTAAACCCAAAAAGCTATAGAAGTGTGGAAAATGAAATACTTAATTGAACTATCAAGATTAATTATAGCATGACGATATGAGAGTACGTCCCATTCCTAATAATTATTTAACTAGCCAAAAATAACTAATTGGTTGGATTTAATTAGAAGCTAGTACTGTCCCGTAGGTTTATAATGCTACACTTTAAACAATAAAATCAAATGAAAACGTAATTGTACTCAGAACTTACGGTTAGAATAACATGTGTAGTACGATTAAATGCGAATTCACATGTCCCCTTGATTAAATTGCTAATAATTTATATTTGAACGGAGAGTTGATTAGTATTACCTAAGCACTAATCATCAATTTGGATAAATAAAACTAATTAACTTTATAAACAGCTACTTCGAGTAAATAGTCATCTTTGAGTTACCCAACGTAAATACTCGGATGGGTCAGGATGCGTATCATCACACATTTCAAGTCCATGCTTATAATGGTTGAAACAGGCTGAAATTTTATTAGTCTCCTCCTAAACGTCAGCGTGGTGATTAAGAAGAATGGCTCCAACATCTAAAGAATTAGATTTAGCTAAGACGAAAAACATTAGGCTATTCTTTCTAACTCTACGATTCCAACTGTCTGCTACAACTACAAAGTGAGTCACTAATTCTCGACTAGTGCCTTTTACTAAGCATACAGAGGAATTGTTAGATATAGTGACCACTGATGTCATTTTGAAGGTGAACACAACACTAACCAGGATCGGTAAGAAGCAGTACACAACAAACCATTTTTTCAAACAGTAGTAGTTACCTCACCAACTAGAGTCCTGGAGTGTTATTATTTAATTTATTCATTTTGTTTATTTGAAGGACAGTTTAGCCGACCTTAAGCTACACATTAATAACTCAATATCTGTAAATAAAATGTAAATGATGTTGATGTCACGCTTTAAAATTTGAGCAAGTTTGAGATAAGTATATCAAGGTGAAAAGGGCGATGATTATTATACTATAATGGAGTTACCCCATGACCTAAAGAGCATGATAGTGTACATTCATTTCTCTAATCGTTTGAGCTGTTAATCAACGCTTGGAAGTTGGACGTAATCATGTCACAGGTCACTACTATTGACTGTTCATGATTACATAGTTGCTTTTGTGTAATTGTTGCATCAAAAGCATTCTTGGTCTATATTAAAGTACTTTAGTTAAGGTTTTAAATCTTGCTAAGGTTTGTCTTGTGGTACCCTTTTACTCATTGACTGACACTCGTGTTCATACTGTGATCATATTGTGTTTTATACCTTAATCTGACTAAAATGGTTGGTAGTAGTCACAATTGTAGACAACCACACTGTTTGTTCCCTGTGGAGGAAGAAATGCAGTGTGATGAATGCAAAAGATGGTTCCATAAGATGTGCACCCGTTTAAGTCCAACTGCATACAAAAAATGTTCTAAGCCTAACTCACATTGGCTTTGCATGTTTTGCTGTGCAAATAAGACGTTACTAATACAGGAGGCTATGAGCCTATTGGCTTTAGCCTCTAAGAAAAGCGCTGGCGCATGTGCTGATAACACGAGCACTGGCAGTGACGAATGTGTCAGTGTAGTACCTGCTGTTACGAGACGCCTCAAACACCCGACTATGATTGGCGGAAAAGTGAAATCTCCGTTAACATTAACGAGGGAAGAAGTACCACCTGAAACTGACATTGGTAACTTTATTTTTATTTATTTGAACACATAAATATTGGTACAGGGGGGCACCAAATATATATGCGCCACACATTGGTAACTATGCACCTCTAGTGGAAACTGAAGATCTGAATAAGGCCGTCACTGTTCCGAATAGTCCCGGTGTCCTGAGGGATGAAAAATGGACTACAGTAAGGAAAAAACGAAGCGAAAAGAAAAAAGCTGTAGGCAGTACGCAGGTGGTTAGCAAGCCATTGGTGGACTTCCATTACGAGAGGCAAAATGCACTACCAAAATCTGATAGCAAGAAGGAAACCCACCCAGGCGTGACTGAAAAGAAGAATCTAATATCATCAAATACTATTGTAAGCAAATAGCGGGAGTCAAACGACCCTGATCCCGAAATTAGACACGCGCATGAGTTAGAGAAGCTGGGAGAATATATTTGTAGTATCTTACCAGATAACTCTCGAGTTCAGGTCAAAAAACTGGTTATAATAGGCAAGAGGACCGAGGACAATGCTTAATCCCTACCATGCAGACTCCTTAAGGTAATCCTAGGATCAGAGAAGCAAAGGGATTTCCTGTTAAGTAATGTTCGTTGTCACGACAATTCCGATATTCGAGTAAGACTCTCGAAGATAGAATAAAAAGAAAGAAGGCACTAGCTGAACTAGAAATCCGTCAACAAAACGATGAGGAAAATCTCCGGTTAGTGGGTTTTCGGATAGTCGGGTCGACAGATTTAACGAATATTGATTGGGGAAGTACAATGAATTTGCTTGTAAAATAAGCATAACTAACTGATGCCAGTAAGGCATGAGTTGACATAAGTAAGAGTGAAGTAAATAAATCAGGTATTTGAAGATTCGAAAACCAGCTTAACCTGTATGTCTACTACTTTAACATGCTAGTCCTCAACGTCACACTGCTGTTTATAATACTACGATCAGGAACATTTTGATCTTTATTATTATGAGTATTTTATACGATTAAATTTCGATTTATTAGACGTGACAATGAGCCATCGCGGGCTGCAATTACACCTGAATAGAATGTCACATGAAGTAATAAAATTCTCCTAAACACTTCAAAGGCAGAATCCAAATAAATTTGAAGGATAAATGTAGAACCTTCACTAAAAAATAAAATGCAAACAGTACATAGGTTATTCTTATATAAAAATCGATGCGCTTATTGACATTTGTGAAGAAAAAACAATACCATTATGGTTAAGAGTCAATTTATGCAGTGAATGATAAAGACCTTGTTTTTAAAAAACCGCCTGTACTCTGCGAAGAACTTGAAACAAACCCACGCGAAAAAACACCGCAAAAATCTAAATCCACCGCAGATTTAGATGTTTTCTGTTTTCAATTTTCGAAGGACGGGAAGGTGAGGTCCTGATGTTCGTATTGGTGACAGGAAAACCTCAAATATCATTAAAGTATTCTTAATTAACCTTCCAAATGAACACTTGCGATATAATGACACAAAGTGTTCCAATCATCAACGTTCTTTCCTCATTTCTTTTTCAGTTGGAAGCTGGTTTATCCTCTCCCACAGTAGGCTGTTACTGATGGTATCCGGTCGATGGTGCCGTCCAGGTACGTAAAACTACCCACCTCTTCCAGAGTTTCTCCATCAAGTGTGATTGGGTTGGTGTTCTCCTTATTGTATTAGAGGATCTTGCTTTTTCCCTTCTGTATGTTTAGGCCTAGTGTTACAGAGGCTCCCACTACAGTGATTGTCTCCACCTGCATTTGCTCGTGTGAATGGAATAGAAGAGCTAGGTGATTTGTGAAGTCCGAAACGTCTAGTTGATTGCGAGTTGCCCATTGTATTTCGTGCTCCCCCCACAGATGTCGAAGTTTTCATAATCCAATCAACCACCATAAGACAATGATCCGTATTGTCGTAATTTGATCTTTACACGACCAAGCCTTACGGAGTCCAACCTATCGATTTCGAAGCTGAACGCCTACTGAATCTTCCGGTTCGACAACACTCTTTTGAAAAACTTTCCAGGTACCGATAGTAGTTTTATTCCTCTGTAGTTCTCACATTTACTCATATCTCATTTCTTTGCTATCTTCATGAGTTATCCTTGTTTCCAGTCTGTCGACATTTGTTCCTCCTCCCAAATCTTGAGTAGAATGTGGAGCATGTTTGCAGTTACTTTTACATCTGACTTCGGTGATTTAGCTGGTATGTTGTCAGTCCATTCTGTTTACCTACTCCTGACATATCTGATGGCCATCCTCAGTTCTTCGATCTTTGGTGCAGTGACAACCATAAGGTCTGTAGGTGCTGTTTCACTTTCTGGTGGATTCAATAGAGCTGGCCTTTTCAAGAGTTTTTCAAGGTGTCCCATGAATTAAAGCATAAAACTCCTGGATAAATATGTAGGCCATTAAAATGGGTCCAGATAACTACAGGTAAATTCTGGATTTTTGAAGCTGTCAAGTGACAAGAGACGATCCTAATGGAGATTTTTCTTCTTGCGATACACAAGGGCTAGTTATGGTTTCATTATGTTTTCGAAACTTCGTTTTGGTATACCGCAAGATCTATCCATGTGTCATCGATCATTGGGACACATCGCCTCAACACAAGGCTTGAGCCTCAACTATTGATGCATCAACAAGATAATTGGATTATCCAAGAAACCCACCACCGGCTCTTACACAAGTTACCAAAGACAGTGTCTTGATCAAGCCAAATCAGAGAGACTAGAATTGACCTCCCCGAGGTAAGTGTTGAATGTGAATTTTCTTAGTTATTTTATGTTCAGTTCCATAAATCATGTAGTTAGAACCAATTCTTATTAAATGTGATATATTCGTATCACAATACCCACCGAATAATTATTAAGACAACCTCAACCATTCAGCGGAACATAGATTGAATTAAAGCGTGCTTTGGCGCACGCTGATTGGCTAATTCTTGTCCAAGCAGCGCTAGTCGATACTTGGAGAGCACTCTAGAATCTTCTCATGTTAAAACTATAAATATAATAATGTTTTTCCCAATGTGCTTTTTACGTACATCTAACGCTGTTATTTGGAATATAATCTATTTCCTGATCAGCCGTGTTATGATTTGGGGACTTGTCGAGTGAACTAATGTTCGAGAATACTAAGCAATAGGAATAGCTGTGTTGTAATAAGAGAGAATTATAACAGTGGCGACGATAAAAAAAAGGAAAAAAATTCAAGATGCCCATATCAGATGACCAGCTTAACCGAATATTGCAACAACAGCAAGCACAATTAGATGCACAAATGCAGTTGTTGGAGAGTCACTCAACAGCTCAACATCCACTGCTCGAGTTCACATGCTATTTCATGTACGTCTTGTGATGCAGTCGCTAGCAGCATCCCGGAATTCGTCTATGATATCGAGAGTGGAAATACTTTTCTCACGTGGTTCAAACGTTGGGAAGATACATTCAGAATGAAATTCGGTAACCAAGATGGCCCGTGGATGACTCAATTGTTGGTACGTAAGTTGAGGAGCAATGAACATGCACTTTATGCTGACCATATATTGTCAAATTTACCTCGAGAGCTCAGTTTCGAGGAGACGGTTATTCAATTGTCAGAGATACTCGGTGAATCATCCTTATTGTTTAGTTTGGTGAAACGCGAAGCCAACGAATATGGTATTCTAGTAGACATCGTCAACAGAGAATATCAACGGTTCAAGTTACGCTCGTTGACAGAAAACAAATTTGAATGCTTAATATTCATCAAAGCTCTTCAGTCACCACAAGATGCTAAGATCAGGACTAGACTTATGGCTAGACTAGATCAAGACTCAAAGTCACACTCAGAACATTGACAGATGAGTGTAAGCGGCCACAAAGCATCAGACATGACGAGTTGATTAAACAAGTAAATCCTAATTCAGCCTGCAGTAGGGTCAATGCTATCACTAGGTTAAAAGTTCAGAAGCCGATAACAACTCGTAACGAACTAACAACTGCATGCTGGTTATGTGGTGATTGGCATTATGTACGATTCTGTCGATTTAAGAAGAATAAATGTCAGGTGTGCAACAAGCGTGAACATAAAGAAGGTCATTGTCTACTGAATCGTGCGTCCTATCCCAAGAAGCATAAACGTCCTAGACATGTGGTGAAATCAGCCGGGTCTAAATCTTATTCTCTGAAAGCAGCCTTTCAAACAAACTACGACATTCAGAGGAAGTATGTTGCCATCAAGTTAAACGGCATATCAGCTCGTCTTCAAATTGACACGGCATCGGATATCACCTTAGTGTCTAATAAAATATATAACTTGCTGGGTAAACCACCAATAAATCCATCTAAGAAAACGGCTAAAAACCCATTAGGTGGCGTGTTAAAACCGGTTGGTGAATTACAGTGTGAATTTTCCTTCAATGGAACTAACTGTATAGGAATATGTTACCTAACAGAGCGGTCAAACCTTAATCTTCTTAGTTAAGATATGTTAGAAAAACTTGGAATAATGGATGTACCGATTAACAGTGTCTGCAACATATCGTGTTCATCATTGGACACCTCAGTACTTGCAAAGAAGACAGGTGAAACGTTACTAGAAAAATTGAAGACAAAGTTTTCCTCTGTTCCTCAGAATAGCCTTGGCCACTGCGCCATGATGAAAGCTCACTTACCAGTGAAAACCAGATGCCAAACCTATTTTTCGTCCGAGATGTCCTGTACCATATGCTACTCTTGAGCTAGTCGTTAAGGAACTTAATCGCCTGCAACAGGCTAATGTAATCCAACCAGTCAACAATAACTCTTCTTCACTCACCATACTCCTTCAAAATAAACTTAAACGTTCCAAATCGAGAGGGAGCATATTCATTAAAGACAAATAAGTATACGAAGACCCTAAACTTGTTGCGGAACTATTTAGTGAACACTTTTGTTGCTCACTAACTAACGAAAAACCACTAAGCGATTCAGAACCAATCCTAGTACCTCCTTATGAAATTACTAATGTAAACTTTAATGTACAAAATATCTCTAAGGCAATCAGTACATTGAAACACTCATACACTGATGGACCAGATGGTATTTCAGCTAGCATGCTAAAACGTGGAGGTGATGATATGTGTGTTTTGCTTCTCAAACTATTTGCGATATCACTCTCTGCAGCGTGCTACCCTACTGCCTGGAAAACTACACATATCATTCCGAAAATTAAAACAGGACCTGAAGCAAATGTTGACAACTATCGACCCATAAACATAACTTCAGTGGTATCTAGAGTGATGGAAGAAGTAGTTAAGGCGGCTGTAATCCAACATCTACTTACTAATAATCTCATCTCGACCTCTCAGCATGGATTTCTTAGGTCAAGATCATGCGATACATGCCTAGTAGACTACCTGAATGATATAACTCTGAAAAGAGACAATGGACTCCTTGTATCAGTCCTATTCTTTGGCTTTAAAAAAGCCTTCGATAAGGTCCCACATAGAAGGCTTCTCGTCAAACTGAAGTCCTTCGGAATAAACGACCCACTGTACTCATGGTTTGCCTCGTTCTTAATTGAACGTAAACAGATTGTAAAGTACAATGACTGTCTCTCATCACCTAAACCAATAACTAGTGGAGTCATCCAGGGAAGCGTGTTAGGCCCACTCTTGTTTCTTATGTATATAAACGATATATGTAACACCATAACATTTGGGAAACCATATTTATATGCTGATGATCTCAATATAGTATACAGTTATAAGCCTGAGACCCTGAACGAAAGTGTACCCCTGATCCAAAATGAACTCAATAACTTAACTATCTGGAGTGAAAAATGGCAATTACCCTTTAACCTCAACAAGTGCGGGATCATGCACTTTGAAAAGCATCCCTATAAACTGCAACTTCACTTAAATGAAAGTAGAGTCCAAACACTCAAATCAACACATGATCTAGGAACTAATTACACAAAAGGTCTGAACTTTGAAGAACATGCCTCCTCTATTATTTCTAAATGTAGACGGCAAATCGGTTTCATAATGAGAAATTTCTTCACAACAGAGGCTAAGCTTACTCTCTATAAAATGTGTGTACGACCTTCCCTGGAGTACTGCTCTTTTATCTTCTCTAATATGAATACCACCGACAAGATAAGAGTAGAAGACGTTCAAAAATGCTTCACACGCCAACTGCTAGGAAGTAACTCTAATGCCAACTACACAGATAGATGTAAGCACCTCTCTTTAGAACCTTTATGGCACCGTAGGCTAAAGAATAATTTAATATTTCTCTACAAAGCGATATATGGACTCTCATTTCTAACCTCCTGCCCAACTATGATTCACTACCCAGCCTATAGACTAAGAAACAACGCATATACACTACACACCGTAA